AATTCACCTATCATTGGAAAACTTGAAGGATCACATTAGAACTGATAATTAGGGAGAAAATCTATCTGGCTGCTAAGAATCCATACTGACTTCATGGTACATAATCAATTATTACTAAATGCACTTACAGGATTGATGTAAAAGAGTTCCTCCAACTGGCTTTCATACAGATTTTTGCAACTAAAGAACTTTTCAGTCTGCAAGGCACACCACTCCAAGGGCCAAGATGTAATACATTTGCCATTAAGCTTGGGGATGAAGGCCTATAAATAGTTTCATAAAGCATCTAAGAATGCTGCCTTTAATTAAAATGCTCTAACTTGTATATAGATAGTCCTCAATATATGACTACAACTGAACCCAATTTTTTTGTTGCAGTCGTTAAGTGAATCTGGCTTCCTCCGTTGACTTGGCTTATCAGAAGCCACCTGAGAAGATTACAGATAGTGATCACATGACTCTGGGACAGTCCAACTGTCATAAATACATGTCAGTTGTCAAGCGCCTAAATTTTGATCATGTGACTATGGGGATACTGCAGTGGTTTTAAGTGTGAAAATCTGACATATGTCACTTGTTTCAGTGCTGTTGTAACTTTGAATAATCACCAAACAAACTGTTGTCAGTCAGGAATTACCTGTAGCACACATTTAGAAGGCCAGTGGGAAACAGACAAGTGTGTGATAATTTTATCTTGGTTTCCATGGCTATTAGGCAATTAAAATGAGTTTTGTACAATGTTTGTCCAGAATGTACTTAGATTTCCAAGAGATGTTGGAAAATACAGAAGGGATACCTTCCAGTAACAATGTTTAAAAAGATTAGCTACATAAAGCTATGTGTAACTAAAAGTTTTCAACTTTATTTACAATTTTTCATATTACAAAGCTGTTATGATGCAGTGTAGGAATTTAGATTTAAGAAACAAAGCCTCTTCGTTTTAGTGGCATCTAGAACTGGCATGAAACACTATTACACTGTTTCTTGTCATTTATTGAATGAGGGTTCATTAATAATTAAATAGATCAGGGAAGAGGAAGGGGAAGGAAGATCACAAACATAACAGTGTACAAACTACAGAAGATTTTGCTAGGCTATTTTAGTCTATCATTCCCCTTCATTAAAATTTCTGAATTATTTTCTCTTGGTAGGCTTCTCAACTCTCAGAATTGAACTTCAATAAAACTTGTTTTCCTTTCTTTTTCCTTTCCCTTGTATAGGATAATTCTGTTTTTCTCTCCTACAAAAACTGATGCTTTCTTTAATATGTCACTGCTGTCATATAGTTACTTAATCTAATAATATTTATAATGATCCCAATATTTTTCTCTCCCCCCCCCCCCAGGCTAAGAGTCTTTTGCTGTTTACTTTGTATAGTGCCTCATTCTTTTCCTTGTCTTTCTTCTGGACCTCTCCCACTTTTCATTTTCTTTCTTTCTTGACTTCAATGGTTCGGGAATCCTCATCCAGTTTCAATTAATGGATGGGTCTGAATCCACTTTGTTGGCATTCAAAGAGACTGGCAGTTCCACTGGACAGAAAAGCAAGAGAAACTCTTTTCTGCCATTCCTCCCCATTTAGCTTTCTCTTTTGTCTGATTGGCATGATATATAACATTAGGCCATAGCCACCTAGCCATTTTATTTTTATTTGATTTTTTGTCCCATCTTTCTTATTGTTTTAATAAATAACTCATGGTGGCAAACACACCTAATGCTCCTTCCTCCTCCTATTTTCCCCACAACAGTAACTTGGTGGGGTGAGGTGGGCTGAAAGAGACTACCTGTAACTGGTCCAAAGTCACCCAGCTGGTTTTTCATGCCTAAGGTGGGATTTGAATGATTTCCTAGTTTCTAGGCCTCTGTACGATTGTAAATCTAATTACAGCCCACTTTAAAATAACTCCTACTAAAATCAAATATACTTATGTCTAAGAAAATATTTTAGAAAAAAAGCCAGGGCTGGCCAGCCATACAGTTCTGAATCTTGAAACAGGATGCTTCTCAGAAAGATACAAAAAGTCTTCCTCTTTCACAATATTTCACAAGGAAGTCTAGATATTTACTGTCCCTATTTCTACCATACCGCAGCACCATCATGGCTGTACAGTCTCCATCTTCCCTCTTGGTTACAGGATGTTGTCTAGTCTCATCCCCTAGTGCAAGGGTCTCTAACCCCCAACCCCCAGGCCATGGACTGCTACCAGGCTGTGACTGGTTTGGAAGTGGGCTATGTGAGTGGCACACATTCACGCACCGGCCCACTGCTTGCACAATCCAATTTCCCTCTCCCCACCGGTCAGGCCTCCAAACCATAAAAGTTGGGGATTGCTGCTCTTGGTGAGCAACAAACCAGCTTTAAATCATCATTAAGGCTGCAGAAATGAGTTATTTTTCTTCCATTAGATTTATCGTGCCCCATCACAGGTTCAATGTATGTAAAATCCCTATCGGTTTGTCACCCACTATACTGAAGGTGAATTCAGATGACTTGTCATGAGTGTGACCAGCATGGCTTCTCTCTCATCATCTCTTCAGCCATTTTCTCCTTACTTTTCCTATTATAGCACTCTGCTTCCGGATTTCCTTTGAAACTTGCTCTATCATATTTCTTTGTACAATTCCATTTGACCAATGTTCAGAAATAATATTGGTAGACCAAGGGCACCATCTATCTTTAGTTGCAGCTGTTCTACCTTTCCTTATTGCAGTCCCTAGAAAATAATGAGGAATGATGAATTTTCCAATCCTTTAAAATTAAGGTGTATAGCTTCCCAGGATCTAGTCCAGTGATGGCGAACCTTTTAGACACCGAGTGCCCAAAACCCACTCCGGCCCCTGCCCCGCCCACTCTGCTCTGCCCCTTGCCCCGCCTACTCCACCTCACCTCCTGTCGCACCCATGCCCCCCGCAAGGCCACCTACCACGGCAGATCGCCCAGGCGGCCCTGCAGCACCATGGCGGCCACGCAGCAGATGATGCTGCAGGGCGCAGGGGAAGAGTCTTGTACTGGCTGCCATGTCCTTGGCTGCGCTGCTCTGCATGGGCCACGACCGGGGGCAACTCTCTTCCGGGGGGGCTGCTGGTGAGGAGAGGGCCATGGGGGGAGGCGGGGCTGGGGCAACGGCACACATGCTCACAGAGAGGGCTCTTAGTGCTGCCTCTGGCACCCGTGCCATAGGTTCGCCACCACTGATCTAGTCAGTTCCAGCAATCTTACCCTATATATATTACCTGATTGCAGAATCATTGCCTGCTCCCCTTCCCTACTATCTGTAGCTATTTCTGTTTTGATGTCCTCCTATATCAGTGGCGGCGAACCTAAGGCACAGGTGCCAGAGGCGGCACTTGGAGCCATCTGTGGGTATATGTGCCGTTGCCCCAGCCTTGCCTCCCCCCGTGACCCCCTCCTCTCCAGCAGCCCCCTGAAGGAGAGTCGCCCCCGAGTGTGGCCCACACGGAGCAGCGCAGCCAAGGATGTGGCAGCCAGTCAGCGCAGACAAGACTCTGCCCTCACACCCCAACATACAGTTGATGCTGCAGGGCATGGGCAGAGGGTGTGGCCGCCATAGCGCTGCTGGGCTGCCTGGGCGATCTGCGGTGGACCCTGGAGGCGGTGAGTGGTGCTATGGGCAGGCGGGGTGGGGGCTGGGGGGCACAGAGCGGGCTGGGCAGGGGGTGGAGTGGGAGCGGGACCAGTTTTTGGGCACTCAGTCTCTAAAAGGTTCGCCATCACTGTCCTATATGTTTCTTTCACCCTATTTTAATTTGGAAAGATAGTCAATAGCTGGGAGGAAAAGAGAACTGAAATCAGAGTCACACAATTTGTACTGTACTGTTCCATGTTCTTTCTGCTAGCAGCAATGTGCAGGAGATAAGAACAAAGGAGAAAGAGAGAAGTAGAAAAACCTGTCAAGATGACACCACTTGGCAGTGGCTTGAAATGAATGTAATAGAGGGAACAAAGGTAGCAAAGGGAACAACACATTTTATGTCAATATTGTTTTGTGGTCACTCAAGGAGAAATGGGCAGCACTTTAATAGGAAAAGGCTCAGTGGTGTCTTCTACTAATCTTTGCACTGTTTTCCTTTGGCTTCTGTATACACAGAACTTTTAAAAAGACCTCTAAAAAGTGCTTAGAAGAATAACTATGTGTGCCTTCAGGTAATATAGAAGCTATAATCTGGCTATAAAGAAGTTTTAGATGATGTGTCATTGTTTTCTATTTCTAGCAACCACCTTTTCTCCATGATGGTATTTTAGGTCTTCCAATGTCACACTCATCCCCACCCTAACTGAATCCATCCAAGTTGTTGCTGCTCATCCTCTTTTCTGTCCTTTCATCTTTCCAGCATTAGAGCCTTTTCCAAGGAGCTTAGCTTTTTTTGTTCTAAGACAAAACCTTTATTATCTGGTTTTCTTAAATTTTATTCCAAACGATTATTTTAGATTCAAACAGATCTTTCAAATAATGAATTTAGCAGAACTAATTGCTTTAGTTGGCCCAGAGAACTTGAAAGCAAAAGTGTCGTTTTTTCTTTCTTTCTTGGGTAGGATTACAATTGTTTCAACAGAGCCCTCAGAACAGAGTATTGCGTAAAAACAGCTGAAAAAGGAAAAGCAACCTGCATTTCAGAAAAAGATCAAGGATGTTAAGATGAACTATTACTAGTAGTTATCCGTTTGCTATCGCTGTGGTCTGTTCCCCAAATATGCTTTTGTGTATAGACTGGGTGGAATTAAAAGCGAGGAAACAGTACCGTTTTACGCACTCTTACGTGAGAGTAAGATCAAGCGAACGCAGCAAACAACACTTCCAAAACCACTACTTTCCACAACCCTGCACCTCCACCGAAAAGAAAACAAAGCTCGCGAGACTTGTATATAAGGCCTGGGTTGGGGACTGACATCTTCTTAGACCATCAGTTGCAAAGGACCATACAAGCAAAGATTGTTAATTGGTGACTTTTGCGGCTTGTCTTGGCCAATGGCAGCGCGAGTAAGTGAAGGGAGGCGGGTACTCCCAGCCTAGCCGGGGAGGCTCGTGGTGCCTGAAGTCAACTATTGCCCTGGGAGGGGTTTTTCTCCTGCACTGCATCCAGAAGGTAGTCTCTCGGGTGACGGCGACGTTAACTGCGAGCGGGGTTTCCGTCGCAATTGCTCGTGCTGGAGTCCCGGTGCGGGAGCGGCGATTCTGCGGTCCAAGGTGAGCGTCGTAAAGGAGAGGACGGAGTAGCGCCCCAATGTAGCTGTTTCTACTCCGGGCTGTGGTGGTGGTGGTGGTGGTGGGGTTGCTTTCACCTGAGGGAGCGATGCTGGCTACGGAGGCCTTGGAATGACTTGGCGGAGGTTGGAGAGAAGCTTGCAGGGCATCTGCCCCGAATGACAGCCTCGGGTGATGGTTGCAACCGGGGCGGGTGGCAAATATGAGGGACGGAGGGAAAGCGGGGGGGGGGGGGGCTACAGGCCGGGTGATAGTTCTGGCCGCGGTAGCCTCTTCTGTCTCGCCGTGAGAACGTCCGCGGATCGACTTTGGAGTAAATATATCGCTCACTGTGGCAGTTCGGGTTTTTTTCTTCTTTCACGCGTCCGGATAGATACAGGTAGGAAAGAGAAGAGGCGGGAAGTAAGCAGTGGGAGGATGGTCGGAGGTTATGAGAGGGAGCTGCGTATCTGCTTGCCAATGAGGGCGCGCGGGAAACTCGCGTGCCGTGGGACTGCTGTTCTCCCGTTGCTGTGTTTCAGAGGAAGGGCGGACTGGCGCCGAGTCTGCTGTACGTCCGACTGCGACATGTGGGACTTCCCCTCCAAAAGATGGGTGATAGCGGGGAGATATTTTTGTGGCACCGCGTGAGTGGTGTGTAGCCTGGGAAATGGCAGTCTTGTCAGTGGGATGTCACCCCCTTCCCCTTTCCACACAAGCAGGTTTAGGAGAGAGTGTTGCTGTGGATCTGTATAAAATCTGCGTAAAGTATGGAAAACCGAGGCGGAATTACACTCGCGGCCGCAAGAAAGCGGCTATATTAAGTTCTTGGGTACGGAAACGTGAAGAAATACGTGTGGTTGAGACAGTCACTTTCTGTAAGTGCAAGAGCAAAACTTCAAATCAGTATAAACAGAGTAAAACCATTTAATGAAAAATACTTGGGAATTATGTACCCAGGATTTAGATTATTTTTGCTCTGCATTTTCATCTAAAAGTAGCTAAAAGGATTTATTTAAAACAATACTTAAGGTATCCATTACTTTGCTTGATAATACACTGTCTGAAAATGTTAGTTGTCCATTTTCCTAATGTTCTTGCAGCTCTGTGCCAAATCTGCCTATTTATTTGTTGCATTTATATATTTGTTTTTACAGAGTTATCCTGGGCAATTAGCTCAAAGTTACCCAGTAACTTTTGTAGTTGCCCAATCCTAATTGACCACACTGGCACTTTTTTATAGTTATGTCTCTATAATAGTTTCTAGTGCCTATATTATATTAACTTTATTTGTAGGAGTATGTAACTTATTAAATTAGACCATAACTTTATTCAGGTATAATTTTAATAATAGTAACAAAGAGGTAGAGAGCAGCATAAATAATTTGAATAACAATATGATCTCTTTGTCAAAAGTCAGTATTCCTAGGCATATAGTGATGTCACAAAAATTTCAAAACTAGGTCAGTTGTATGATATTATGAAGTGCACAATGTCACTTGCTCTTTTATTCTCCTTTAGATATATCTTTTTACTTATATACACACAAAGAGACACACTTTTACATACGGTGCATTCAGAAAGTATTCAGACCCCCTTCACTTTTGTATTCATTGTACTCCATAATGAGTGTAAATTAAATGTAAACTATTTTAGAAATGTCTGTACATTTATTAAAAAGAAAAAACTGAAATATCACATTGGCATAAGTGTTCAGAACCTTCACTCAGTACTTTGTTGAAGCACCTTTGGCAGCAGTTACAGGCTCAAGTCTTTTTGGATATGATGTGACAAACTTTGCACACCTGGATTGGGGGATTTTCTGCCATTCTTTCTTGCAAATTGTCTCAAACTCAGTCAGGTTGGATAGTGACATCATGGACAGCCATTTTCAGGTTCCTCCAGAGATGTTCAATAGGGTTCAAGTCAGGGCTCTGGATGGACTCCTGTGTTGTCTTGGCTGTGTGCTTAGGATCGTTGTCATGTTGGAAAGTGAACCTTCCGCCCAGTCTGAAGTCCCGAGCATTGTGGAACAGGTTTTCAGTGAGGATATCCCTGCACTTTGCTCCATTCAGTTTTCCCTCAACCCTGACCAGTCACCCAGTTCCTACTGCTGAAAAACACCCCCAGATCATGCTGCTGCTGTCACCATGCTTCACTGTTGGGATGGTATTGGGCAAATGATGAGTGGTGCCTGGTTTCCTCCAGACATAAGGTTTAGAATTGAGGCCAAACAGTTCAATATTGGTTTCCTCAGACCAGAAAATTTTGTTCCTCACAGTCTGAGAGTCCTTCAGGTGCTTTTTTGCAAACTTCAAGTGGACTTTCATGTATTTTTCACTGAGGAGAGTCTTCCATTTAGCCACTCTGTCATAAAGCCCAGATTGGTGGAAGGCTGCAGTGATGGTTGTCCTTCTGGAACTCTGTCCCACCTCTACACAGTATCTCTGGAGCTCAGTCAGAGTGACCATTGAGTTCTTGGTCACCTTTCTGGCTAAGGCCCTTCTGCCCCGATTGCTCAGTTTGACCAGGCAACCAGCTGTTGGAAGAAGCCTGGTTGTGCCAAACTTCTTCCATTTGTAGAATTATGGAGGCCACTATGCTCTTAGGAACCTTCAACGTAGCAGAAATTTAAATTTTGTTAGCCTTCCCCAGATCTGTGCCTTGCAATAATCCTATCTCTGAGCTCTGCAGGCAGTTCCTTTGACCTCATGGCTTTTGCTCTGCTACAGTATGCATTGTCAGCTGTGAGGCCTTCTATAGAGAGATGTGTGCCTTTCCAAATCATGTCCAATCAATTTAATTTATCATAGATCAACTGCAATCAATGTCAGCAACAATCAAGAGAACTGGGAGCACCTGAACTAAATTTCATATGTTGCAAAGGGTCTGAATACTTATGCCAATGTGATATTTCAATTTTTTCCTTTTAATAAATTTACAGACTTTTCTAAAATTCTGTTTACACTTTGCCTTTATGGGATACTGAGTGTAGATTAATGAGAAAAAATGAATTTCAACAACTGTAGATCTGTAGCACAGGCTGCAGCATAACAAAATTGATAAAAGTGAAGGGGATCTGAATATTTTCTGAATGAACTATATATAAAATAATTTCTGATGCCTGTATTGTATTAACTTTCTTGTAGAAGTATGCAGTTCATTAAACTCTAAATTTATTCCAACATTATATATAACAGACAGACAAACACACCTATGAATAAAGACAAGGTTGTAATACATTTGAGCGCTATTGGTTTTTTTCAAAGACACTTTAAAGACAGTTTTTTTTTAAAAAAAACACTGACTATGTAAATAGAGGGAAGTCACCATAATAGGAGTTATTTGCATTTGAAAACTAATCCAGCACATTCTTCATGATAGCTATAGTAGAGATGTAGCACTAAAAGCTCAGTCAGAAGGGTTTGTCTTAGATTAAGAATATTAAACTCAAGCCTCTGTTACATTGTTCTTGTGCTACACTTTCCATTCCACTCCAATGCTACTTTAGATTGCAGTTCTAAACTTTATTTGGACCCTGTTGAATACAATAGCATTACTAAATTATCCTGAATAATTGGATCTTGTTTACATAAAAACACCTGTGCACTATATGTATTTGGAAAGTAATATACTTTTAGTCTTTATGATAAGATAAGATAAGATAAGATAAGATAAGATAACCTTTATTGTCATTTTTTTTCTGTGAACCCACTGGCACACATTAAAAAATGAAATTCTGATGCCTGCTCTCAAGAGAAAAGAATATGTTATTTAATAATACTGGTCCAGGTTTTTTTTTTTTTTTGCAGGAAGTGGGAGAAAAGCTTAAATACATGAAGACAAATTTCAGTGCTATTGACCTTATAGGAGGACAGTTGTGTTAGTCTATGGTGGTTAAAATACATCAGAATTCTGGTCGCACCTTTTCTGACTAAAAAATTTTGTTAAAAGGCATACATTATTGAACAAAGGGCATTGCAGTTCTTGAAAGCATATGCCTTTTGATAAAATTTAATAATCAGAAAAGATGCTACCAGACTCCTTTGGATATTTTTCAACACTATTTTTTTCCCCAAATTTTATTAAATGTACATTTAAAAACAGAAGTGGACATGATTCAACTTCCCTGGCTACAACACTGCTATTAGTATTACCTTATGTTACAGAAAGAAAAACAGAAACTTAAAATACATTCTATAACAGGACAGAGTATAACAAACTGTACATATAACATCTGTAAATGTTTTGGTAAACCATCTTTCAGTCGTCAACGTTGTATTTACATATCTTTCAGTTGTGTCCTAATATAGGTGTTAATAAGTCCTTACGATATCAAGTAATCAATCGATAATCATCTCAGCGATCCTCCTTATCTCTAATCAATCGTACAAATTTTTCCAAATTTCATAATACTCCGTTTCAGTTTTACTTTTAATCTCTAGAGTTAACCTGTCCATTTCAGTGCAGGATAAGATTTTATTTATTATTTCTTCAGTGGGGATTTCCTTTCTTTTCCATTTTTGGCGTATTATAATCTTGCTGCGGTTAAAATATGCAATAGTAAGTAGAAAGATGCTTTGCTGAGTTTATCATTAATAATCCCTAATAAGAAGGTTTCTGGTTTTAAATCATTTTTTTGTAATAGTATTTCTTCCAGCCAATTTTTTATCTGATGCCAAAAATTTTGCGCTTTTGAACATTTCCACCACATGTGATAGTAAGTCCCTGGAAGCCTTCTACATTTCCAGCATGTCGGTGAGGTTTTTTTATCTATTTTTGCTAGCCTTGTAGGAGGAAGGTGCCATCTATAAAATATCTTGTATAGATTTTCTTTATATGAGTTGGCTAGCGTTAAGCTCCTGTTTCTATCCCATAATGATTGCCAATTATCTAGGTCAATACTGTAACCGAAATTTTTACTCCAGATCAACATTGTTTCTTTTACTCGTTCCTCTAACAAATCTTGTTCTAATAAATATTGATATATCTTTTTTATCATT